GAAAGCCAGGAGGCTAATGGGAACGGAAAGAGGAAACAAACGGCAGCAAAACACTTCCAACCAGCGAGTTTCCTGGCCTTGTGAAAACTGAAGCCTTGGAGGAGCAGGGAGGTTGCTGATCAGAGTGTCCTCTAACCCAGGGGCCAGAGCGCCGGCTTCCGGCTTCTCCACTGATGGGACTGGCATTAACTGGGATGTTTATTTGCACCTAGGGGTTAGGTTACTAGAGGAGAGGTCTGCGGCCGGAGTATTTAGTGTCATTTTACGTATTTGTCAATGAATGAGAAAATACAAAACATCGCTCAGGGTTAAGACTTGGGAATTCTGTGATATTTGAGGGCTCGGATTATGTTTTTGAAGGTGAAGCTAGAGGAAACGAATTTTTTTAAGGTATTATTAAAACCCCAGTCTAATCGTGAGAAAGTATCAGAGGAGCTCTAACAGAGGGTCAACCTCATGCTCAGTCGTGTCTGACTCTTTGCAACCCCGTGTTCTGTAGGCCGCCAGGCTCCTCTGTCCGTGGGATTCTCCAGGAAAGAATACTGGAGCAGGTTGCCATTTCCTTCTGCAGGGGATCTTGGAGAAAATGGTCAAGGGCATATGGAAATTTGCTGAGCTCTCTTCTTCATTTTTTCATGTATCTAAGATTTTCTAAAATATAAAGTCTATTAAACTAAAAAAATCAGAAAACAATTATTGACGCTAAAGTTTGTTACTAAAACTTGAGATACACAACTTTGATTGATATAAGATAATCATTCCTCTTTTAAAATAGTTTACTTTCTATAGAATAGGAAAAACTGTAATGATCCATATTCACATCCTTCTCCTTTTAAATCTATCAGTTCAGTTCAGTCGCTCAGTCGTGTCTGACTCTTTGAGACCCCATGAACCGCAGCACGCCAGGCCTCCCTGTCTTTTACCAGTTCCCGGAGTCCACCCAAACCCATGGCCATCGAGTCAGTGATGCCATCCAACCATCGCATCCTCTGTCGTCCCCTTCTCCCCCTGCCCCCAATCCCTCCCAGAATCAGGGTCTTTTCCAACGAGTCAACTCAGTGCATTTTATATAAAACAATAAATATGATTATTGCAGAAGGCATGCCGTGTAGCCACAGAATGAAGCGGGTAAGAATGTTGCTCTATTTTCTGTACCCGAGGCAGCTCAGGCCCTCCTTGAACCCTGGTTGGGCGGTGTGATGGGAAATGCAGTCTCAGCCACGGCTCGGTCATCCCCACAGTCTGTAAGCAGTCGCTCCGATTCCACGTGGTGGGTTCAGCCAGGTTCCTCCAGGGCTCATGGTCCCAGGGTGGGAGGGACAGAATACCCCTCCCCTTCTACACCCTACACAGCAGGGTCAGGCTCCTGCCTGCGATTTTCCTTCTGCAAAAGGAGACTCATCCTCAAAGCGAGGCAGTTTCTGCTTTCCAACCCCAGAAAGAAACTTCCTCAGGCAAAATCTCCCTAAACCACAGCCACCTGCTGAAATCCAAAGGAGGGCAAAACATCCAGGGAAGAAAAGACACAAAATAACATTTCAACCATTTGGATTGTTTTTTAAAGGATCCTGCCTAGTGTAGATGGTGTTATCAGCTATTTTGGACTGACCAATCTCCCAGGATATAGCTGGTTAAGGGGAAAAAATAGTCTTTGTGCAATTTAAATTAAAAAAAAAAAAAAGTTGCCTGGGCTTGGAGTCAGAGTTCCTGGCTTTCTAGGAGGATCTTCAGATTCCACTATGGCTGGGCTATTGTTGCTGTTATGCAGTTGCTCAGTCTTGTCTGTGTCTGACTCTTTGGGACCCCATGAATCACAGCACTCCAGGCCTCCCTGTCCTTCACCACCACCCACAGTTTGCTCAAACTCATATGCGTTGAGTTGGTGATGCCATCCAGCCATCTCATCCTCTGTTGCCCGCTTCTCCTCCTGCCCCCAATCCCTTCTAGCATCAGGGTCTTTTCAAATGAGTCAGCTCTTCGCATCAGGTGGCCAAAGTATTGGAGTTTCAGCTTCAGCATCAGTCCTTCCAATGAACACCCAGGACTGATCTCCTTTAGGATGGACTGGTTGGATCTCCTTGCAGTCCAAGGGACTCTCAAGAGTCTTCTCCAACACCACAGTTCAAAAGCATCAATTCTTCAGTGCTCAGCTTTCTTTAAGGTTCAACTCTCACATCCATACATGACTACTGGGAAAATCATAGCTTTGAGTAGATGGACCTTTGTTGGCAAAGTAATGTCTCTGCTTTTTAATACACTGTCTAGGTAGACAACCCGGGGAGGTCTTTCTGCTTTCCTTTTCCTGGAAAGTCCTCATCCACCCGGACCACTTCCTGCCTGAACACCCTCAAGTTCTACTGTTTCCTGGCCTCTTCCTTCACATTTCCCCTCCAACCCAGGCTCCGTGTGCTCTCTAGTTGAGTGCAGTAGACAGACGCATGAAGGCTGAGGCCAAAAATAAAAATTGTTCTGGGGCTCCTTAGCATTCACCCCTGAGATGGGGCTTCCTTGGGGAGAAAGTCACGTTTGTTCCTAGGAAAGGCTGCTGACATAAAAGGATGCTGACGCAGCAAGGTAGCAGAAGAGACTGTCTGGAGCGCAGTGATGAACTGTCCCTTCTGTAAACTCGGGAACACAGTGTTCAGCTTCCTCCTGTTGCCTCACCAGGAACACAAAGTTACTGTTACATGAAGGGCAGCAGTGAACATGTGGAGATTACTTGGGCAAGGAGGCATCTATTGACCACAATTTTCTACATAAGAGTTTTTTTTTTTCTCCCCCACTTAGACTGAAGATCCTTCCTCTCCACAGCCAGCCTTCTCCTGGAGCCATATTCAGTTAATCCATCTCTGGACCCCTTGTCTCACACCCCTTTGAGGACTTACGTCGGCGCTGTCACGGGTGTGTGTGTGGTATCCGTCTCCTCTGTGTGGCTGGGACTATCCCGGGCAAGGGTCCAGCCTCATCTCCATATGCTCATTCATTCAAGCAGTGTCACCTGCTCTGCTGGAAGGGACGTTGTGGTTAAGTCAGCGAGCTGGATACCTTGTTGTTTAGTCACTCAGTCGTGTCCGACTCTTTGTGACCCCGTGGACTGTAGCCCGCCAGGCTCCTCTGTCCATGGGATTCTCTAGGCAAGAATACTGGAGTGGGTTGCCATGCCCTCCTCCAGGGGATCTTCCTGACCCAGGGATCGAACCCTTGTCTCCTGCATTGCAGTCAGATTATTTTTTACAGCTGAGCCACAGGCAGTAATTATAAGCAAAAATGGGGGTGTAGAATTACAGGTAAAGATATTAGGTTTCATGGACAGGTCAAGCAGCCCGACTTTTTGTCCCTGTGGTCCTAACACTCGACGCAGAGCTTGGCATGTAGAGAGAACTGTGTATAATGAATGGAATGAACAGACTGCTTGCATCTAAAGTGGATTTTAGATTGAGTCTCTCGTCCACTTCCTGCTCGTTGTGTAACATACGGCCAGGTTGCCCTGGCCTTTCCTTTTCTAACATTGAAAACAGGATCTCTTTAAGAAATTCAACACTGCTCTAAAAAAAAAAAAAAAAAAAAAAAACCTGCTACCCAAAAGATATGTGAACACGTGCTTCTTCAGTTTCAATCCTGGGATACAGTTTTAGTCTCCAAACATACACATACTAGTGGCCACATAAAGTAGATAAAAGACGGAATGAGATGAGCTAGTCCAATCTTCTTGTAATATGCCTAGTGACACTGAGCCCAGACAGGTGGTGAGAAGGGTTCATGAGCCAGAGCTGGAGAATTCTGCAGTCTCTGTATAAAGATGGAGCAAGTGCATCTGGCTCAGGTGTTTGGGGATTGTACTCACACCCCCACCATCCCAGCAACTAGTATTCACAGATTACAAAGAGTTTCGTGCTCTGTCTTGATGGGCATTTAAATCACCTTCATTTTGTGTTCTTATCTTTCACAGGACTGTAAAGACTTTGGTGTAGGACTTAATTGTGTATATCTCACCTGAATATCCGCACTGATTGTTATCTGAAGAAGAAATGAATGAATCTTATCTTTGATGTGAATGCCTTCATTACTAACATCTTTATTCACCTTGGTCCTTTGAATCAAACTGAAGAAAATCTGTCTGATCAACATGATCCGCTAAAGAATTAAGTTTCTTTTGGGAAATTAACAGAATTAAGTTTGCGAGACAGGACCTAACATGTCAATTTAGTAAATATATATATATTCCTGTGGCCAATAAACCTGCATTATTTTGTAATCAAAGCTCTGGATCCTTTATTAAATATTTTGTTCTTAGGCCATACACAGAAAAATTAAGTTGACTTTTTCCATAGAAAAACTGGGTGAAACTGGGTGAGTGCTATTTCACAATTTGCAACATTTTTATTCTGTAAATCACTAAGAAAAAGACTCTTAAATACGCTTCATCCTTGGTAAAAACTGACTTTAAAAAAAGAAAAAAATCTGACCCTGTAACATTTTGGCATAGCTACCTCTTCCTTTTGTCAGAAACAGAAATGATTTGAAATAACTGTAAAGGCGTTTCAAAGATAAGTGCTTTTAAAAATCACACACAACAGTTAACCATCCGGAAAAAGGAGCCCGATCGTCCTGATGAGGAGCGAATCGTGTTTAGACAAATTCAGGAGACGACATCTAGACCCAGCAACACCTGGAAGATCTTTTCACACATCATTTGGTGGGTTTTTTTTTCCTTTTTGATGGATGGATGAGCAAACTTTAAGGAGTTAATGGGCAGATAAAAGTCGGATGGAAAAGGACAGTAATGTTAAGACAAGTTAAAAGCTCTTTCCGACACCAGCTCCCAATCCGGCCTCCCCAGCCGTTTCCCCTGTGAACTTTCTGTGTTTCATTCATTTTGCTGGAATTGGAAAGAGCGAGGCCAAGAAAAGGCCGTATCCTGCCTCATTGACTAAAGCTCTCCTGTAAGGGAGTTTAATGGGCTAGAAGCTAATACCACTGACAGTTCTAAGAAAACCTACCCCGCGTCCCCAGCGTCCCGAGGGCTCCCCGCGGCTCTCCCTCTCTCCGCTTCCCTCCACGCTCCTTCTCCTGGCATCTGCGGAAGCTTCCGCGACCAACCGGCGGCATCTATCGGGAAGCAAACCCCTCGCGGACAGAAGCGCCCCGGGCCTTATTAACGGAGGGCCCCGGCCGAGAACTGGCTGTAATTACAGCTGACTTAACAGTGATGCTCACGTGAGCAGATAAGCTCTTAAGACCGAAATCAAATGTCCTTTACATTTGCAAGCCACTGTTTCCTCTCATTTACCCCGTTAGAAAGGGGTCTTTCTCGGCCCGATGGGAACCCTCTCGGTTACACTCACTTTCTCTGCATGCTGCTGTTTTGACCGCTTTCTTGTATCCTTTTTCCACACGGTTTCCTCTGAAGTACATCAAGGAAGGGGCCACAGAGAGTGAAATTCTTGTCACCGAGCACAAGACAGGGCCTTTTCCTCGCCTTCATCCAAGCAGAACACTCGGTGGTTGGGGGTGTGCGTGCGCGTGTGTTCACCTTGTGTTGGAGAGCTGCAGGCAGGCAGAAGGGCCGCGTGCGCACGGGCACAGCTGAAGTGTCACAAATGAGAACTCCCAAGGAACCAGGACCTGCCCGTCAGTTACCCGGGGCTGCGGCAGCCGAGTGCGGCCAACGGGCGGGGCGGGGAGCGCGGGGCGCCGGATTTGCTCTTTCACAGTTCTGGAGGCCAGAGATCAGAGGCCAACGTGTTGGCCTGGTTGGATCCTTCTGGAAGCTGGGAGGGCTTATCTGCTCCGGGCCCCTCCCCTGGCTCCTGGTGATGGCCAGGATTCCCCGGGGGTCCTCTCTGCAATCTCTGCCTCTGTCTGCACAGGGCCGTCCCCTGCGTGTCCCTCTGAAGACGGGCGTTAACCTGATTACATCTGCAAACAGCCTGTTTCCAAGAAAGGCCTCTGTCTATACGTCTCAGTGACACCCCTGACTTCCTCTTTTCAGCCGGGCTCCACCAGGGTGGCAGGACCTTAGCTTCGGTTGATTTATCTGGGGGGTTGGGGTGTTGGTTCTGCCGGCTGTCCGGTCGGGGCACGGGGAAGGGTCATTTCCTGGCTGAGATGTCCGCAGCCTCTGCTTGTAGGCCTGATAGCCTCTGCTCGTAGGCCGTGAGTGGACGCAGCTCTGGCATCCCGCCTATGTTTCTGAGAATCTTTCCTCTGGCTGCGTAAGGGCCCTGGGATCTTCAAGACCAGTCCTTTGCTCCCGTCTCCCCGGGGCTTCGCATCTCTCCAAAACTCCAGGGGGAAGCAAGATGCAGAACACCCTACTCTGCTTCCATCCCCTTCCCTCTGGGTGGTGCACCCAGCCTGGGAGAATCACCCTTCTTTTTTGGTGGGTTGAGGTCTCTATTTTGATTATGCTCCCACTCATTTTGTCTGAGCCTTGATTTTTGTAAGATGCCTTGAAAAAAAATTTTTTTTAATATATCCCCATGTTAAGACAATTAACGCAATGTGGACAGGCTGGTTGTGTGACTTTTAGAAGTTACTCATTCAAATTAAAGAGCGTCCTTGTCTATAAAGAGGGGATAAGAACAGTTTCCACTTCACAAGATTTAGGGAAGGGGAGTTAAATTAGCTTAGCTTACCAACATAAACATTTATAACTACGCCTGGCACATAGCAAGACTCTGATGTCAGATACCACCCATTTATTTATTAACAGCATGAAAGGGGATGGGAAGACAAAATAATAGGAGGAGAAACCTCAGTTTCCAAAATAAGAACAAATAGATATTTCCTAAACTTATAAAAGTCATTCTAAACCCAGTAACAGGATAGTTGGAATGAAGAACTGCAGTGAGATACCAAGAATAGAAATGTTGATTTTGCTCTATTTGCTTCAATAACAGTAGCTAAGAGTTTGGAGGGAAACCTGCATGTTTCCTAGACAAGGGACTCCCCTCTCGGAGGTAAAAATCTGCAAGCATATAAACCAAAAACTATTCCTTACAGGGGGCTTCTCTGGTGGCACCAGTGGTAAAGAATCCACCTGCCCATGCAGATGTAAGAGATGCAGATTCGATGCCTGGGTTGGAAAGATCCACTGGAGAGGGAAAAGGCAACCCACTCCAGTGTTTTTGCCTGGGAAATCCATGAACAAAGGAGCCTGGAGGACAAGAGTCCATGGGGTCACAAAAGAGTCACACACAACTGAGCGATTGAACGACAACAGTTCTTTTTCAGTAAGGTCAAGGGATTCAGAAAAGATCAAGTTAAAGGTGTACATTATCTCATCGAAAAATATGGAAAGAGACACAACAGTGTCTTGGAAACTATAATTAACTTTTCACCTGACCACAAACTAGCCACAGAGAAGCATGGATTGTCAACACAACCATTTGTCCTCACTGGCTGAGCAAACGCAAACCAGGAAGCAGTCACTTCTGAGTGCTTTTTCACTTTATCACTTTCAGTGGTGTCAAATACTCTACAATGAAAACCTAAGCAGCATGTTAGGTGGCCCTGGCCTCACTCAATCTGAAGATCATACATGCAGTGGGAAAGAATAAATACTAAATGAAATGACGCTGACACCGAAGGGATCGCCGATCTGACGTGTCAACAGTCATCTCGGCCAGGATGCTCGGAAACCCAACGGGACCTCTGTTCCACTCAGCAGGATCTCCTTGTCGACAGGTGGAGACGTGTTTTTGCAAGAGGGGCTTAGTGACCAGCTGTCCTTCCTCCATGGGAAGATGAGAAGGGGAAATGTAACCAGCAGGCCACAGGAGGGGTTTAGATTGTACTGGAACAAAAATGAAAGGCTGGACAGAGGAGTTTCCAAACATGGGCGAGCTCCCGAACGTCTTGAAACTCAAGTAGGAAGCTGCAAGCAGGAACATCTTGAAAGATGCTGAAACTCAAACAGCAAGCAGGAACTTCTTGAAAGATATGAAAAACCAGAGATATAATCTGTGCTGATTCAGGCACACTGATGCTTCACAGTAAGAGGTATGGATTGAAGTGAACAGATTACGGGGACTAGGTGACCTAGGACTCTCTGAGATTGCTTTTTTCCCAACATACTGCAACGATTGTAAGATTTTAAGGACGTAAATATTGAGAAAGTCAAACATCTCAAAGTTGTGGCACATTTTAGGAACTTGATTCCAAATTCAAGTATTGCAGCTACTTTTCACAGCCACTTTCTGTGCAGGAAGTCACTATTATCAAGTAATTTGGTGGTTGTCATAGAGACTCAGCCCCAGGAAAGTTATCCAAAAATTCTCATACGATCATGAATTTATTACATGGTCTGTGCCATAAATCATGAATTACCCAAAAAGTGCTTTCCCAGTGAGTAGCTTAAACAAAACATCTCTGGCTCATTGTCTTCTTTTGTTAAGATAAAATGTTTATTAAAATAAAATTCAGTGCACTGGTGAGTATTATGTAGTTATTGTTCAGTTGCTAAGTCATGTCCAATTCTTTGTGACCCCATGGACTGCAGCACACCTGGGTTCCCTGTCTTTTACTGACTCCTGCAATTTGCTCAAACTCATTTGTGTAGAATAATATTTAGTGGGTTGGGAGAACATTTATGTGTATTTATTGGTCTTAAGTAGGTCACCTAACTATGTAAGTCACCACTAACAATTTTTTAAAGACACATTTATAAGCACAAAAAAAATTGCATGAGTAAAAGATATAAACTAATACATTAGCGTTATTTCTCAGTGATTGAATTACAGGTGACTTTCCTTTTCTCCTCTTTCTTGTGTTTTCTAAACTTCCTATGATGAATATGCATTATTTTATAATGATAAGCAAAGTCTACTATAAAAATAAAGAACATTGTATCTTTTAAAGAAATGTGTTTATTTTTAATTGGAGGATAGTTGCTTTATGATGATGGTGTTGGTTTCTGCCCCACACCAAGATGAACCAGCCATAGGGGTACATATGTCCCCTCCCTCTGAAGCCTCCCTCCCGCCTGCTGCCCCATCCCACCCTTGTAGTTGTCACGGAACACCGGGTTTGAGCTCCCTGCGTTATGCAGCAAATCCCCACTGGCTATGTCTTTCACATACGATAATGTGTCTGTTTCAATGCTACTTTCTCAATTCATCCCACCCTCTCCTTCCCCCGCTTTGTCCACAAGTGTGTTCTCTATGCCTGCGTCTCCAAGAACATTCCATCTTTTTTTTAAATTAAATATTTTATTTTAATTGGAGGCTAATTACTTTACAATATTGTAGTGAATATTGCCTCTTAATGGTGAAGAATAATGTTTTCCAAAAGAAACTGCTACGGTGGAGCAGAAAACACGAATGATGAGTGCAATGGACACGCTTTTATCTCCCAGACCTCTCCTTCAGCCTGGGTGGAGGCAAGTATATTCTTGTGGCCAGAGAGGAGAGGTGATAAGATCTAGTTTAAAATATCAACCGGCTAAATGTTGCAGAAATAGCCTGGCATTCTAGACTGTGATGAATCATTTGGGTGGGAGCTTATTCTGATGAAATAGACCTACCCTCACGAAAACCCTCCACCCGAACTCCAAACTATCCAATGTGCCTTGTACCGTAGTTGAACTTGACTCATGTGGACTCCCATAATGTGGCATTTGTGAAAGTTTGGACAAAGAATGAGCCAAATTTTCACCTTCGCAAATCTTTCCCCACGTTCCAGATGAATTACAGGGCTCGTGTTTAAAATTCACGAAAACCCTTTCAAACAACATCACGTTCTAATTTATTAGAGCAAATTCCTCATGGAATTCTTTCTTGACCTAACTTAAATTATGTGTACTTTGCAGTAATAAACTGTATTTTTTCCATTCAAATATAATATAATTTTAATAGTCAGTAATTTATATTGCACTTTCACATTAGAATCAGACCATGACCATATAAAGAACTGAAAGAAACGTCAGTTGCTCTCTCACTGTGTTTAGAGATCACCAGTAAAGGGGATCAAGCCTCTGCTAATGCACTTTGTATGACAGAAACTAATTGTCAATATTTTTTTTTTAAGAAGCATATTGAAAAGAAAATTGGATGTAACCAAGGTATTAAGGTGATAAGACAATGACTGGATTCAGGGTAGGAAAATTT